GGCTAATATTCCGTAAATAAGGGGTAATCCAGAGGCAGAAAACATAAAATCTCACACATTTCAAAGAATGTATTTTCTGACTTTAAAGTGAATAATTTCAGATTAAAAAAAAATAGGGTGGGATTCAGAATTTATTCATATATACCTCACTGCCTTTTTTTTATAGCTAATTAAAGTTCATCAGATTAAATTAAAACCCATTTATAGCTTGGTTGATTTTATTTTAAAATGTGGTCATTTAGTATACTGGCCAAGGGAATAGAAGGCATGATTTGGAAGTTTTCCCATGCTCAGCACTTTTCCAAGTGGATTAATAAAGTTCTTAATCCCACAAGGAGACTGCATTTTTTACCACTTATCTCAACTGTTATTAATTAGTATTATTTTAGCATTTAATACGAACTCTACCACTAAATATCAGTATTTGCCATGAGTAATTTTGTATTTTAAGTTGGTGAACTTGAGTAAGTTAGGCTACCCCAAATTCTCCATCCTCTGCACAAATTTTTTTTCATTCTTATTCCTTGATTAAGTTAGACTCCCAAAAATTCTCCCTAGATTTTGAATTTTTAGTCTAAGATATAAACAATCCTTGGACCTAAAACTTAGTAAAACTGTTTTAGAATTAAGGTTTGGCAATTTATCGTGACTTGGCTTGCACATTGGGATGCTATTTATTTGCCAAATTGCTGTCAGTTTTCTTGGCCTAAGAATACTGCATAGCTATTGTATTGGCAGTAGATTTAAGGGCAAAACAAAACTGTTAGATTTCTTTTGTTTAATGAAAAAATTTTTTTTAAAGATTTATTTATTTATGCATACAAGAACAGGGTTACAGGCCAGAGGTGCGGGTGGTGAGAGGATTCACCAGAGACAGAGTGGGGAACAGAACAGGCAGATTGATGGAAATATACTGCTGAGGGGAGCAGCAGGCGAGACAGGAGAGGTCTGCCTTACCATGTGGATGCCATTTAATTAATTGAAAAATATGCCACAACTTATTTATCTATTGTTCCTACAGACTAACTTTGGGTTCCTCTTATTATACAGGGTTCTGAAATGAAAAGATACTCTGTTCGGGTCTCTTGTGCTGATATGCAAAAGTTTCTTTAAGCATGTAATTTTTTCATATTTTCCCCTTTCTTAAAATGTGCTGAGTTTAGACACAATGTTGTTTTTCAAAATAAAAATATCAAAAATTTCAGTCTATTTTGCTGTTGTAAAACTGTTAAAGACTCCAGGCAAACCAGCTCAGTTGTGATGAGCTTGCCTCCTCTGACCTGAGAATGTTTTGTGAAACCCCTGCCTGTTGAACTGCTATGAGCAATTCTGAGACTAGGAATCTGCCTGCCTCAGAAAACCCTGAGGGCATTGTGGTGGTTAACAGTGTATTTCATTCAAAATGAAATATATCTAAAAAAACAAAAAAGTCAGAAATAGCAAGCCTGTCACACTGTTTAGTTAATTTAGCAAAGCAACTATGGCTTATACAGTTTTAATTTTAATATTTTGTATTTAATTTTCTGAAGTTTCTTTTTCCTTCTTTCCAACCTTTGTTCATATTACACTCAGCTTTACCTTGCACTCAAGGCTCAATTCTCTTTTCCACCCAGGTAACTTGCTTGACTTTTTATACCTTAGTAGAAAAATCAAGTAAGTAATAATGAAATGGAAAAGACTTGAGTTTTGATGCTGGAAAAACCTTGTTTCCAATTCTGGTTCTACCAGCTCCATAACCTTAGGCGAGTTACTTAATTTAACCTCCTGAGCCTACATTTCTTTCTTTTCTTTTCTTCTTCTTCTTTTTTTAAATATAAAATGGGGATAACACCTATCTTGAGTGGTATGTTTTGAGGAATAAATGAGAAAATGTTTTTAAATTTTCTACTCTTTTTTTTTTTTTTTTTTTTAGTTATTAATATGTTTACCTTGCTGGCTCAGAGGATCTTCAATTCCTAGTGTACATAAGAATCACTAGGGAGCCTGGTAAAATTTATAGGCCTCACTCCAAGAGGTTCTGGTTTAGTAGGTTGAAGTTGAAACTCAGGAATCTGTTTTTTAAACAAGCTCTCTGGATAGTTTTGAAGCAGATGGTCTCAGACACACTTTAAGAAATGCAGTACCGGGCCTCCCCGGTGGCGCAGCGGTTGAGCGCTGGGTTGCGAAGCTGCCCGCGGCCTCTGCAGCGCCGGTTCAATCCCCGGCTGCTCCCCAGCCACCAGAGGAGGGTCCCACATGGCGCAGACCTCTCCTGCCGCCCGCTGCTCCCCTCAGCGGTGTACTTCGCTTCTGCCTGCTCTGCTCCCCGCTCTGGCTCTGGTGAATTCTCTCACCCTCCCGCGCTTCTGACTGTACCCAGTGCATGTATAAACAAGCAAACAAATAAACAAACAAATAAATAAATAAACAAAACATGCCTCTATAAAAAAAAAAAAAAAAAAAAAAAAAAAAAAGAAATGCAGTACCCTTGGTTCTTTGGTTCCCACTCTAGTTTTACTAGTAAATTGTTTATACTGTGCGACAAATCATTTCTACTTTCTGGACCTTATGTTTCCTCAACTGTGGAATGAATGACTGAATTTGATGGCCTGTACTAACTATGCAATTTAAAAAATTTAGGTTTTATGATCTTAAATTTTTGATTTGTCAGTCTGGTACCACTTTCTGGCAGAGGTTCAGTAGACATATTTGTGTTTTATTCTTTGGAAACAGATTATTCTTCCTTTTGTGAAAACTCTGGTGAAACCAGGTTAAGCAAAAATAAAATAATTTATTTTAAAGATACAGGGATAGCTCATGGAATCACTAGTAGTTAGGCCTCAGTAATCAGGGATTAGAGCACATTAGGAAAATCATAGTCTGTCTTTTTGTCTTTGTAAATTGACTTTAATCTCGTGGCCCTTTTTGTGGAAAATGGCTATGGCCAACAACTCCTGAATTGGTATGGCTTCCATTTTAGAAATCAGCCAGCCGGAGGCTGGAATACCTTAATTCCAATTCCAAATTGCCAGGAAAGGAATGGTGATTGATCCGTATTAGGCAGAATGTTGTTGGCGTCTGAGTATGGCTTGGGAGGCAGGGTGTTATCTTAAGAACGGCTTTGGAAGCCCTGCCATGTCCTTTCTGGAAGGTTGGAAGAGGTAGCATTTGTATGGGTTAGGTGTGCGCCACATTTCCAAAGGCATCTTCATTAACTTAAGTGTCACAACATATTTTGTATAGAACCCTTACAGCTATTCTCATGGAAACAAGAAGTAGGGAGAGAGCTTCTATAGAACCAAGTGGGCTTGTGTTTTCATTCTTAGTCATGTATCAGGTCAAGTGGAACCTTTTATAGTCACTTCTGCTGGACATTTCTGTTTAATGAAAAGTAAAAAATTTTCAGTTTCTCTTTGGTATAGGTTTTTCCACTTCAAATTTATTTTATTGAGGTAACATTGCTTTGTAACATTGCATATTGTTTTAGGAGTATAGGTTCATACCTCTTCAAATGTCCACCACCAAAGCACCAATAACTCTACACAATAGTCCACCCTAGTCCATTGGTCCACTTCCCCTTTTGTTTCCCACTCCCAATCCTGTGCTCTACTAGACTCAATTCTGCAGTCAGATTCCTAGGGTTTGTTTTGGATTAATTTTGTCTGTTCCTTTGCTTTGTTTCTTTGTATTTTATGTAAGTGAAATTGTCTGTATTTGTCTTTCTCATTCTGAGTTATTTTGCTTAGTATAATCCCCTCTACTTCCATCCGTGTTGGTGCAAATGGCAAGATTTAATTTTTTTTTTTTTTTTTTTTAATAGAGGCATGCTTTATTTATTTGTTTGCTGGTTTGTTTGTTTTTTTGTTTATACATGCACTGGGTACAGTCAGAAGCACGGGAGGGTGAGAGAATTCACCAGAGCCAGAGCGGGGAGCAGAGCAGGCAGAAGGACCGAAGTACACTGCTGAGGGGAGCAGCGGGCGGCAGGAGAGGTCTGCGCGCCTTGTGGGACCCTCCTCCGGTGGCCGGGGAGCAGCCGGGGATCGAACCGGCGCCGCAGAGGCCGCGCGCAGTTTCGCAACCCAGCGCTCAACCGCTGCGCCACCGGGGAGGCCCGCAAGATTTAATTTTTTTAAATTGTTGAATAGTATTCCATTGTGTGTATGTGTATATATATGTGTGTGTGTGTGTGTGTGTATATATATATATGGTATCTTTGTAATCCACTCATCAATTGTTGGGCACTTAGTTTGTTTCCATAGCTTGGCTATTGTGAATAGTGCTGCAAACACAGTACACAGTACATATATCCTTTTAATTTAGTTTTTGGATTCTTTAGATAGATACCTAGCAGTGAAATTGCTGGATCATATGGTAGTTCTATTTGTAATGTTTTGAGAAACATTAAATGTTTCCCGTAGGAGTTAGACCAGTTTACCCTGTACAGTGTACAGGGATCCCTTTTTCTCCACATCCTTACCAGCACTTATTATTTCTGGTCTTTTTGATATGGGCCATTTTCATAGGTGTGAGGTAGTATCTCCTTGTGGTTTTAATTAGCATTTCCCTGAATAGTTCAGTATCGATGAGCATCTCATGTGCTTGTTGGCCATCTTGGCCATCTGTATATCTTTTTTTTTTTTTTAAAGATTTTTATTTTATTTGTTTTTGCATAGAACCTGGGTGTAGGCCAGAGGTGCCAGGGGTGAGAGGATTCAGCAGAGAGAGTGGGGAGCAGAATAAGCAGATCCATTGAGATGGACTGTTGAGGGGAGCAGTGGGTAAGACAGGAGAGGTCTGCTGTCTGGTGGGGGATGGAACTCAGGCAGCTTTGCTGCAGGAGGGCCTTTGTGGTAGAACTGAGACTTAACCTCCAAGCCACCAGGGAGGCCCCATCTGTATATCTTTTTATGAGAAGTGTCTGTTTAGCTCTTTTGTTCATTTTTTGGTTGAGTTATTTGGCTTGCATATATGTATTCATTAATGGTTTTAACAAAATGTCTTTTTGATCTCTTGTTTAGTGTCAAACCAGAAGAAAAGTAAGAATCAACAAAAATTTATTATGTATGGAGTTTCTTCTTAAAAGAAGAAAAAGTGATTGAGACTATGGATCGGAGCAAACGGAATTCATTTGCAGGATTTCCTCCACGTGTGGAGCGTCTTGAAGATCTTGAAGGAGGTGGTGGAGGCGATGGTAACATCACCCAAGGGCAAAGAGTTTCCACTTCATATCGAGCCCTTATAAGTGCCTTTTCCAGACTGACGCGATTAGATGACTTCACATGTGAAAAAATAGGATCTGGCTTTTACTCTGACGTGTTCAAAGTGAGTGGTACCTCGGCTTTGCTTGTATTGTTTTGCTGTGCTTCACTGCAGTGATCGTTTTGTTTAATTAGGACAATGGCTTTGCCTAGTCAGGGTGCCGGAGATCTTGAGCAGTTCTTCTAAACCTTCCCCTCAAGCTGCTTATCAACTTAAAAGCTTTTTTATTAATTTTGATTATAAAAATAATATACAATGGCAAAAAATCTAAATCATATAAGAGGCTCTACCGCTCACCGTGTGTGTGTATCTCCAATACTAACCAATATTAACAATTTAGTATGTATGGTTTTGGACCCTATGTGCCTATATATCGAATATATATACACATATATTTACTTTTTTTGTGTCTGACTTATTTCACATTGTATAATGTTTCAAGTTTCATCTATGTTGTAGCATGTCAGAATTTTATTTATTTATGGATGAACAATATACCATTGTACATATATCTCACATTTTATTTATCCATTCATTTGTTGATGGACATTTGGGTTGTTTCTACCTTTTAGCTACTGTAACAAAATATATTAATAGAAATGATCCCTGAAAGTAGTGTCTTCATTAAGTTCTTGGGAATAATGCTGCTATGAACATTAGCGTACAAATATCTTATGTTTCTCTGCTTCTTTTGGGTAGTTACATGTAAGTAGAATTTCTGGGTAACATAGTAATTCTGTGTTTAACCTAAAAAATGTGATAAAGCCCACATAACAAAATCTACTCTAAATCCTTTTTAAATATACCGTTAAGTGGGGTTAAGTATATTAAGTATATTGTGTAGCCAATTTTCAGAGCCTTTTCATCTTGTAAAACTGAAACTCTATACCCATTAAAGTACAACTCTCCATTACCTTTTCACCCCACCTCCTGACAACCACTGTTCTACTTTCTATTTCTGAGTGTGACTTCTGTAAGTGAAATCATGTACTTACATTTTTGGGATTGCCTTATTTCAGTATATGTTTAGAGTTTTGAGGAATCACCATACTATTTAGCACAGCAATGCACTATTTTACGTTCTTACCAGAAGTATACAAGGGTTCTGGTTTTTCCACATTCAGACCAATTCTCATTACTTTCCTTTTTAAAAAACAATATCCACTGGATATGAAAAGCTGGTATCTCATTGTGGCATTTCTCTAATGACTAGTAATATTGAATATCTTTTCGTATGATTTTTGGCATTATGTGCATATTCTTCGGAGAAATTTTAATTCAACTTCTTTGTCCATTTTTGAATTGGATTGTATTTGTATATGTAGGGATATTATCAGATATGTGATTTGAAAATATTTTCTTCCATAGGTTGTCTTTTTACTTTCTTCATAGTGTCCTTTGATGCATATACATTTTAAATTCTGATTAAGTCTAATTTTCCTACTTTTTTTGTTGCCTGTAATTTTGGTATCATATTCCAGAAATTGCCAAATTCAGCATCAAATGTTTTTTCCAATTTTTTCTTATAAGAATTTTTGTAATTTTAGCTCCTTGATCTACTAAATTTTTATATATGGGGTAAGATCTAAGATTCTAACTTCATCTTTTGCAAGTGGATATTCAGTTTCCCCAGCACTGTTTGTTGAAAAGATGTCCTTTCTCCATGGAATTTTCTTGGCACCTTGTCAAAAATCAATTGACCATTTGTGTTAGAGTCGATAATTCATTTTAATTTGTATGTTCTGGTTATTATTGAAGTCCTTTAATGTTTATTGGTCTGTTGTATTGTGTTATTTTTTGGGTAATTATATATATATATATATATATATATATATATATATATATATATATATATATACTGATAGTAATTCTTTATCTCCCTGGCCTGGGATCAAACTCAGGCTGTTGTGGTGGCTGGGTCCGTACCCAGCTACCAGTGGTAGCTAGCACACTGATACTAATCCCCTAGGCCACCAGGGTGGCCCTAGGTGTTTATTTTTAAGGAATTACTGATCACACCAACTCTTGATGTAGAAAGTCCAATGTTGTTCAGAAAAAAAAAGAAAAGGGAAGCTAAATTTTGTATGAAACACACGTATTAAACTCATTGGATTGAATAAAATATCTGGACAGTTATATTCTAAATATAAAAAGAATTTATAACACCTTAACCACTTTCTTTTTAAAACATTGACACCTGGCCTCCCTGGTGGTGCAGGCGGTTGAGCGCAGCACTGTGAAGCTGTCCGTAGCCACGGAGCAACCCACATGGCACAGCAGACTTGTCCTGTCTTGCCGCTGCCCCCCTCAGCAGTGTATTTCCTTCAATCTGCCTGTTCTGTTCCCCACTCTGTCTCTGGTGAATCCTCTCACCCTCCCGCAAATCTGGCCTGTACCCTGGTTCTTGTATAAATAAATCCTTAAAAAAAAAAAAAAAAACCATTGACACCCAATTATGTTTTGATGCACATGGTAGAGGTCACCAGAAGTAATTTTTAGACATCTCAATTTCAAGATACTGAAAGACTTAGAAATGAAATTTTTTTTATTTCTAACTAATTGTCTAATAACAAATTTTTAATTAGTTCCCCCCCCAGTGGGTTGAAATGTCATTTTGTTATTAAATTCCCATGTGATTTCACAGTTAACTAGACAGAACATTGGAATAAAAAAGAAAATCCAAAAATAGGCTCAATGCATGTGGCAAAGATATTTTAAAGGGTAGAGAAAAGATAAACTAGTCAAATGATGTTGGTAAATCTAGGTAGCTATCTGAAAAGCAAATAGAGTTTGATCCGTATTTTATACTCTAACTAATTGTCTAATAACAAATTTTTAATTAGTTCCCCCCCCAGTGGGTTGAAATGTCATTTTGTTATTAAATTCCCATGTGATTTCACAGTTAACTAGACAGAACATTGGAATAAAAAAGAAAATCCAAAAATAGGCTCAATGCATGTGGCAAAGATATTTTAAAGGGTAGAGAAAAGATAAACTAGTCAAATGATGTTGGTAAATCTAGGTAGCTATCTGAAAAGCAAATAGAGTTTGATCCGTATTTTATACTTTATGCCAGGAAATATTCCAAATAGAAAAAAAGAATTAACTCTGGAAATAATTAAAATTAATAATAAAGGAGTTCTAGAGCAGAAAATAAAGGAATTAGAAAATCAATAACTTTTTTTTAGAGCATTTTTGGAATGCATATCTTGGAATCATAATATGTAGCCTTTCAGATTGGCTTCTTTCACTTAATAATATCCATTTAAGTTTCTCCCACATCTTCTTATGGTTTGATAGATTATTCCTCTTTATTGCTGAATAGTATTCCATTGTTTGGATGTACCATGGTTATTTATTTAGTCATTTACTGAATAACATCTTGGTTGCTTACAAGTTTTGTCAATTATGAATAAAGCCACTATAAACATCTGTGAATAGGTTTTTGTGAGGACATAAGTTTTTAATTCATTTGGGTAAATACTAAGGAATGGAATTGCTGGATTGCACGGTAAGAATATGTTTGGCTTTACAAGAAATTACCAAACTGCCTTACAAAGTGGCAGTACCATTTTTTATATTATTATTAGTAATATTGAAAATTCCTGTTATTTTATATCCTTGCCCACATTTGGTGTTGGCAGTGCTTTGAATTTTGACGATTTTAATCAGTGTGTAGTAGTATTTCATTATTATTTTAACCTGTAATTCCCTAATCACATGATATTCAACATCTTGTATATTTTCTTTGGTGAATTGTCAGTTGAGGTCTTTCCACTGTTTTTTAATTGGTGTTTTCTAAATGATGAGTTTTAAGAGTTCTTTTATATTTTGTATATCGTCCTTTATGAGGTAGGTTTTTTGTAAATATTTTCTCCCAATCTGTGGCCTGTCCTTTCATTTTCTGGGCGTTGTATTTCTCTTTTTAAAATTTATTTTATTTATGCATCCAAGTACTGGGGTACAGGCCAGAGGTATGGGGGTGTATGTGTGTGTGTGAGAGGATTCACCAGAGACAGAGTGGGGAGCAGAACAGGCAGATTGACTGAAATACACTGCTGAGGGGAGCAGCAGGCAAGACAGGAGAGATCTGCTAGGCCCTGTAGGTTAGCACCCTGGCCAGGGATTGAACTCATACTGCAGTGGCTGTTGATAACTTCATTGTTATGCTGAGACTTAACCCTTTGTGCCACCAGGGAGGACCTGGGCATTGTCTTTCACCAGAGCAGAAAATTTTAATTTTTATGATGTCCAACTTACCAATTCTTTCTTTCATGAATTGTGCCGTTGGTATTATATCTAAACTTAAGGATGTAGATTTTCTCCTATGTTATTTTATTTTTTAAAAAATATTTATTCTGAGTGTGTCTGCGAGAAAGTATTTTTGGATGAGTTTAACACTTGAATCAGTATACTGAATAAAGAAGTCTACTAATGTGGGTGGCACTTATCAAGTCAGTTGAAAACCTGAATAAAAAAGGCTGACTTCCTTATGATTAGGCGGAAATAACTACTTGACTGCTTAAGCTGAAACAGCGATCTTTTCCTGCCTTTGGAACTGAATGGAAATATTGATTCTTCTTCGACCTGAGCCTGCTAGCTTTTGGACTAGAACTTGTATCATTGGCTTTCCTGGTTCTTAGGGCTTTGTATTTAGAATGGAACCACACCATTGGCTATTCTGGTCTCCAGCTTGCTGATTGCAGATCTTGGACTTCTCATCCTCCAAAATTGTGCGAGCCAATTCCTCACAATCTCTTTCTCTCTATATATAACCCATTGGATCTGTTTGTCTGGAGAACCCTGACTAATACATATGGTGATATGAATATTTTCTTTTTTGATCTCTTAATAAAGTGAATTATATTAGTAGATATTCTAATGGTGAGCCATCCTTACATTCCCGGCATTTTTTTTTCTTTAATGTGCTGCCAATTTCTTTATGTTGAGGTGTCTTTACCTCTATATTAGTAAGAATGGCCTGTGGTTTTCTCTCTCATGCTTTTGTTAGGTTTTGGTAGATATGTTATATTTGCTTCATAAACATAATTTGGAACTTTTTA